ACTGAAGAGCTGATGTAATTTAAGGTTCTGTTATAGAAATACACAGATCAATGTTATGAAAAATATAAGCAAAATCAGTAGAGAAGCCTAACCACAGAGCATCCAAAGAGACAAATTTGCAGTGACTTTACAATACCAGGCCGATGGCTGAAAAAACATCAAAGAAAAAGTAACATGAAGGAATATGAAGGAACTTTCTGGCGTGATTGATAATGTTCTGTATATTGACAGGAGTTTGGATTCCACAAGTACATGCATTTATCAAAACAGTGAATTACACTTAAGATTTATACATTTCACAGTATATACATTTTATATCAGAAGAAGAAACTGTAAACAAACATTAAGTTCTATTTAGTGATATGCATGTTGAACTATTTAGGGGGAAGTATATAGATGTCTACAATTTATTATGAAATGTGTCAAAAAACATGGTAGATTAATGATGAATACTTACATAAAACGAATATATAAGATATAAATGGTAGTATTTAGGTAGTGGTAAGTATAGATGTTCGCTATAAAATTCTTTAAACTTTGCTGTGTTTTGAAATTTTCAGAATAAAATGCTGGAAAAATACCAATATCAAAACAGAGATCTCAAATAGATATTAGCAAAAATATTGAAAGATACTAAGACGCCGGAACAGCAAATCAATGGAGCCACCCAAACCGATCCAGAAGAACTTGGTGAAAAATTCTAGTATAGCAGCTAAGAAAGGAATGAGGACTACCTCCATACACTGCCATGGAGCGCCTTCCAGAGTGAATGAGAAAAGCAAGGAGGGGTGTGCGGTACCTTGGAGACCACACAAATACATATGGATAGCACAGACGGAGATAGAGCGGGTTTTTTTTGTTGTTTGTTTTTGAGACAGGGTCTCACTCTGTCACCCAGGCTGGAGTGCGGTGGCGTGATCTCTGCTCACTGCAACCTCCACCTCCTGGGCTCAAGGGATCCTCTCACTTCAGCCCTCAGAGTAGCTGGGACTACTACAGGCAGGCACCACCATACCCGGCTAATTTTTTATTTTTTGTAGAGATGGGGTGGGGGAGGGTCTCACCGGTTGCCTAGGCTGGTTTCAAACTAAGCTCAAGCAATTCACCCACCTTGGCCTCCCACAGTGCTGGGATTACAGGCATGAGCCACCACACTGGGCCATTTTTTTTTAATTGGAATGTAAGCCAGGAAAAGAACAGGGATAAAAGCTATTTGAAAATATCATGTTTTGGTTGGGCATGGTGGCTCATGTCTGTAATCCCAGCACTTTGGGAGGCCGAGGCCAGTTGATCACTTGAGGTCAGGAATTCGACACAGGCCTGGTCAACATGGTGAAATCCTGTCTCTCCTAAAAATGCAAAAATTAGCTGGGCATGGTGGCAGACACCTGTAATCCCAGCT